TGTTAGCTTAGCTCGTAGCTTAGCTTCTCAGCTTAGCTGCTTTTAACGATCCAAAAACGCAAATTTGGATGATTAAAACGGATTTTAAAGAGAAAGGGAGGAGCCAGTGAAGAGCACCGGAGTTGAACCTTTTGTCATCCAGTGTCTTCAGTAGAGAGAGAGAGACACGAAGAAACGATCAAGCCGATAAATGAGGACGATAATTTTAATTTATCATGATATTAATTGATTTATTGTGTATCGTGACAGGCCTATTTATTGATACTGACCTAATTGAGTGACAGCTGACACCGATCGCCCGAGCGTGATATTCTGATCAAACTAAAGCCTAGTTTAGACTCCACGAGAAGTGCCCAAGTCATGACTCGCTGACATGGCTACGTAACGAAAACTGGGTATTTTTTCTTTAAGATATTCTTTCCAGAATGTTTCAGCCAATCTATTGGTTATCGGCATTCGCCTTCCCCTTCCCATATCGTATCGGCGATAGCCAAACTATCAGAATCAGGTGGACTCTAGTTATAGATGGATGTATACTTTATTAGGGATGCACGATATTGGATTATTGTCCGATATGCACATATGTTTAAACTTATTTGGCCAGTAACCGATACCAATACCGATATTTTTCCCCCTAGATCTATTTACAGAGACTACATAACTTTCTCTGACGTAGAATTTAAATACAACATTTTCTACATGGTCTTTGTCAATTTGGTCTGCTACCAAATGCAGATGCCAAAAAGCGGGCTGGAAATGATGCAACACTATATAAATATATATATATATATTTAAAAAACAGCACCTTTTAAATCGGTGAGTTATTTTAATGGAATGTCCGATATATTTAACTTTATCGCTAATATCGGCCAATACCGATTCCATGACGATAATATCGTGCACCACTATATTTTATTGTGCCCGAGGAGAAATTTGTCTTGGACGTGGTCTAATATTTATGCTTTCATGTGCACAGGAGATCACCATCATCTGTTTGATCAAATCAAAGTAAAGTCGACTTCAAATGAACGTTTGCAGCACGCACGTCTACAACTGTCGGCATAAAGAGTCCATCTGAAATAATCTACGTAAACTAGGCATTATGGAAAAAGATGTCTGAGGTACTTACCTAAGATGCTGGGGTCAGAGTGCAGCATCATGGGCTGTTTCTTCTTCATCTTCCCCCCCTGGTTGTCATAGAGACCAGCTTTGCCCATGTGGTTGGCCTGAAACATGGACTGCAGAGAGCTCGGATTCATACCTCGCATCGAGTCCTGACAAACCAAACGGACATTTCATCTTTATACCCCGTCTGCATTAGTAATAAATGAAGAGTTTGAATCAGGATTTACCTGCAGAGGGAAGTTCATGTTCAACCCACCCACCTCCTTTGACAACTGGGGAAAAAATATAAAAAACAATGATTTTTAACTAAACAACGTTTAATATTAATTAATTTTAAGCAGCTGGAATGACAGCAGGTGAGTTTCAGGCCTACCTGCTGCTGCTGCCTCTGTTGGTTGGCTTTCTGTTTGGCACGTCGCTCAAGAAACTGTTTGGCGAACTCTTTGGCTTCCACAGTGTCCCCAAGGTAGGACCGGATGAAATCCAGCACTGCATAGGGAGACTCCACCTCCTTCAGGTAAGCCACGATCGTGGCAACTTCACAAAGACACGATGTTAGCACAGTTAGCAAAGGCCGAACAGGATTTTGTGACGGTGCATTTATTTTTAGATCGCTGCAATCGGTTAGCACCAAATAAAAACAGTTATATTAGTTATAAAAATCTCAGATGATTGGGATAGGATTCAATGCAGCCATACTTAAATTATACTTGGCAGACTTTGTATTTTATTTTACACCAAGGATATAATTTAGCAGTTTCTGATTCTAACACGCTTACTGTGATTTCCAAATTGAGCGCGCCTGAATACAAGCCACGCCCACACACAAAAAAAAAGGTACATATATAGGTTGCAATTGTCTATAAGCCGCAGGTGCCCTCCATGTGACTGACAGTCAACCACAGCAGACTGCTACAAAACGTACAGTAATTTATTTTTACGTGAACAATGCTGGTAGCATGAATGTAAAAAAAAAAAAAGTGTTTCCCTTAGCCCCGCCCTGTCAACAGAATCGAGCGCCCCACAACTGCCAGCACTGACGTAGCATTAAGCTAGCGGCGAGTAACACGGGCGTGCTAGCTAAAAGTAATTTTCCCTCACGCTGAACATTTGTCGGTAGAAACAGGCAGCTCATACATGTCTCCGTCTTTCCTCCTCCCTGGGGTCACAACGGGGAGGTGGGAACGGAAAAGGGTGGGGGGCAAAGTGCTCCCCCTCCCCAGTAGACC